CTAAATAATTAAAAAAATTAAAAATAAACTTACTATTTTTTTGTACTTTTTTAAAAAAATTAATTTGCACACAATTTACATATATATATATATATATATATATATTTTATTTTATTGCAGAGAAAAGTGCTGGTTCAAATTCAGATAGAGTAACTGATGCTAAGGTGGTACCACATAATTAATTTATAAATTTTGCAGTATATTTTTTAGTATATTTTAATTTTATTTTTTTTAAAAATATTTATTTATAATTTTGTTAATATTGTTTACTGCAGACTTTGAGACGTTTAGCACAAAATAGAGAAGCAGCAAGAAAAAGCAGACTAAGAAAAAAGGTAGTAAAACATATATTATAACAATAATATTATCGGTGTAGTCTTATAAGCAGAGTCTGAAAAAATTGAGATATACAGATAACTATGTTTTACAATAACACGTTATTAACTTATTATAATAATTACTTTTTTCATTTGGTCGAGAATATATAGAAAACAATCTCTTTATTTATATAGAGGTCGTTTTCAATAATTAAAAATAAATTTTTAAAAAAGAAAAATTGACAAGTATAATAAATATTATTATAAAATATGATTATTATAGAGAACTCTGACGACATGCATATTTTTTTTTTTGTATTTTACATAGTTAATAATTTATTTATTTATTCATTTAAATTTTTTGCAGGCTTATGTACAACAACTAGAAACAAGTAGGATGAGACTTGCTCAACTAGAACAAGAACTTCAAAGGGCTAGATCTCAGGTTTAATTTAATTTATCTTTGAAAATTAATTTTTTTATTGTATATTTTAAAGAAAAGAAAATTTATGAGGAAGTTGTTTTCCATGTAATATTTAATAATTCAATAAGTAAAATAATTATTTATAAAAATGAATTTTATCATATAAAATATTTTCTTAATTTAAGTGGATTTTAATTAAATTTTTTTGTTGTTAATTGGTTTGTGTCAATTAGGGGATTTTCATGGGAGGTGGTTCTACTGGTCCCAATATCAGCTCTGGTAAAGTTTTAATTTTAATGTTTTTAGTTATAATTACTTTTATTTATTTATAAATGGTCAAAAAAATCCTTGTAATTTACTATGAATCATTATATATTTTAATTAAAATCAATAAACCAATTCAAGTATAATTCTACAAATTGGAATCTAAAGAATGTGATTACTTCTATTTTTACGGAGTAGAAAAACTATTTTCAATAATTGCTCGATAAAAAAAATTATAATTTTTTTTTTTTTGCAGTTTTGACAAAATGGCAGCACCAAATATCTGAATTTTCAGAACTAAAAATTTTCAGTCAAAATTAGAGCCATTTTTTCAAGTCAAAGCTTATAATTCTTTGTTTTTAAATGTGGACACAGAGAAAAAATCATATCATTTTTGAGTAAAGAAAATTTAGTATGTTCTTTTTGTCATATTTTGTGTTCTAAAGGATAATATCTTTTTTACTAATTAGTTTTATTTTCTATTTGATATTTATATTGAAATTCAACTCATGTACGATCTATTTAAATAAATCATCTTCTATTAAAGATTTTATCATATTTAAAAATTAAAATCAAATTACTTTATTAAGAGAAGCACAATACATTTGTTACATCACCTTATATATATATGATTTATTAGTCAAAACAGTCTTTCTATCACATAAATGTATAATTAAGGATCTGCATACATTTTACCTTTTTCAGATCATACTGATCAGTATGTTATTACTGTTATTATATATATAATATTGAATTTTAAATATTTTTTAATGAAATTTTTGATTTCACTATTGATATATCAGGTGCATCGATGTTTGACATGGATTATTCAAGATGGTTAGATGATGATCAAAGACAAATATGTGAGCTACGTACAGCATTGCAAGCACATTTAGGAGATGGTGAACTTAGAATAATTGTTGATGCTTATATTGCTCATTATGATCATATTTTTTTACTCAAAGGAGTTGTTGCCAAATCCGATCTCTTTCACCTCCTCACTGGTATTTGGGCGTCCCCCGCTGAGCGCGGTTTCCTTTGGCTCGGTGGTTTTAAGCCGTCTGACCTCATCAAGGTAAATATTTTTTTTTACTATCAGTGTATATCATTTTGATTATTATAGATATTACATGAATATATCAAATTGAATTGAGCGAGTTAGAATAGTTTTAAGCTAATAATGACAATGGGAAGAAATAGGCTTAAAAAGTGGGTTATAATAATTTAAGTAATCCATGAAAATCTTACAAAGATTTAATATTTTTTGTTTGTTTTTCTAATATATATATTTTTTGGTACCTGATAAAATTATTTTATTTCTTTATTATGATTATATATCAAATAAAAAAATATAAATTTTGTCAAAATTTCTCATGAGTTATCAGTTTGGACAACATATATAGTTCCAATTTTTAATAAGTTAATTTGAATTAATAAATAGGTAGATTAATTATCAGTCCAAACTTGGACAAATAGGTGTATCGTGTTTTTATGAACTAATTTTCTCAACCTATAGTTAAAGTATGTATTGACAATTTAAATAATATATTATATACAGGTCACTTATAAAATAACTATATATATAGATAAATTTTTGTGACGAATATCATTTAGTAACCTTGTGAAAATAACTAAGTATATATGTATATATATATTCTCTGTGAGTTTTCTCTACAAGCTAAGTTTTTGAAAATTTAGTATGGATATAATATTATTTTTTATAAAATTCAAACTATATAAAAATTATATTCACATATATTAACCTGATAGTGTAAAAACTATTTATACTGACAATATATAGTGATCATCTCAGATGTTGATTACGCAATTGGACCCTTTAACACAACAACAAATTGTTGGAATTTATAGTCTCCAACAATCATCACAACAGGCTGAAGAAGCACTTTCACAAGGCTTAGAACAATTAAAACAATCTTTAATTGAAACTATAGCCACTTGTTCTGTCAATGATGGCATGCATCATATGGCTATTGCATTGGGAAAACTTGCAAATCTCGAAAGTTTCGTCCATCAGGTAAATTTTTTTTAATCATAAGTCTCGTATTTAAGATTAAAATAAATAAAATATCTTACAGTGAGCGTTTTTTGTTAAATAGATCTTATACTACCCGAGTCGGGATAGTAATAGTGGCGGATATAGTGATTATTAAGCCTTGTAGTTGGAAACTAGTCATTGTCATAAATTAAAGTTTTACATATAAAACTTTATGATAATTTCATGAAGTTTCACATCTTAAATTTAGATTTTCATGATGATGACTGTTTTTGTTTTTAACTAGAATGGCTTAAAAGTGTCTATTTATGAATTCTATTTTGAATTTGAATTAGTTAAAATGTCCTTTTTAAGTTATTAGTCTAGACTTTGTGGCATAAGAACTCAACGTATAATACATTGATTAGATAAACATAAAATCTTAACTTATAAAGTCTGATATTTAAGTGAAGATCGATACAGAATCAAATTCATTATGCATTCATATAGTAGCCTCTTTATAAAGCAAGTGGTTATTTTAGGTATAGACTTTTTTTATGAAATAATAACCATCTACAACTAAGGGAAGGCAATTTTCTTATAGAAACCTAGGCTTTTGACTTTTTTTATCACCTTTGTCTCCCACTATCTTGTGAAGGATATAATTAAATAGATTGTTGTTAGCAGACCTTTGGCTATACTACTAAGAATATTTCTTATACTTTTGATACATGTGTTAGTTGATTGTGGGCATAGTACATGTATTGGACTTTAAATCTAGCTTCAAATTTTAACTTTGACCTTCAACTTTCATAATGCACAAACAGGCACTTTAACTATCTAACTTTTAAATAAATAAACACATGAGTCATAAATGGCATAATACACGTAGGATACCACATAGGACAAAAAATGACATGTAGGACATGTGTGTCTATTTGTTCAACTTTATACAAGTTTAAGAGTCTATTTGTGCACATCCAAAGTTGAAGGGCATAAATGTAATTTGAAGCCAAGTTAAAAAACACATTTATGTATTATGCCTTGATTGTGCATATATGATATATATTTTTCTATTATTACTCACTAATATATGTATCACAAACTTTTTCCATTAATTAAGGCTTAAAATTATCACATGTTTTTGCATGCATTAGATTTTTGAACTTAAGATATTACGACTCTTCATTTACTTTATTAATAACTAGGTCAGACCCTTGATTATTGCGAGACATGTTTTCTCTTCTCATCTTTTTGTTATTGATATCATCACTTTAAAATCTTTGCACTTTATACTATGGCTAAAGATCCCAAAAAGTGTAATTATGTGATAGCTATTCTCACTTTTCAACCCTTAAGAAATGGGATTTAATTTGAAAAAAGGAGAATCTAAACTACCCCTTCTAATCATGCATCTATGATTGAAATGAATTAAGGATTATATATATATATATATATATATATATATATATATATATATATATATATATATATATTTCATTTGTAGAGTGTCTTTTTTACCTATTAGAGAATAGAGAAATCATTCTTGTAGCAATAACTTTGCACTGGCCAAAAAAAAAACTATTTATTCAATCATGTCATGTGTAATATAATTATCGATAAATTTTATTACAAATATTAGAATTGATAACCTATTTTAAAATGATTATATGTAATATATAAATATTTAAAACACGGATTTTATCTCTACCTTATATGAAGCAAAAGTTATTTTCAATAAACTTTCTGATCGAAATCGTTCTAAAAACACATTTGACAAATCCTATTGAAAATGACATTTACTTGGTATAAAATCTATTTGATTTTTGTGAAAGCAAATGTTTATATATTTCCACTAAAGGTGCTTAATCAAATTCCTAATACATAGGTCCCCTCTATAGCAATAATTGGTAATTTAATACTTTTAATTAAAGATGATTTTCCCTTAGATTATGGCTTTGTTGTTTTGTTATTACTTGTGTTTTTTTCATAAATTTAAAGAGGATTCCCCTAATTGTGACTTCCTATTCATAAAATGCACCAAAATGGTTCATATATATAGCTTGAATATCATTCTAAGTTAATTTGACTAATTCTTAAATTTATATATATTGAAATTTCGAAAAGCAAAAAATGACAGATAATTTGAGATAAAAATAGTAATTTTATTAACTAGTGATCGGCTCAAATTCGATTTTAAAGACATAGTGAGCAAATAATGGAAGAGTATATATATATATATATATTAAATTACATTATTATTATAATTATTATTATCTAGGTCCACTTCAAATTATAATTTATTTGAAATATTATAAATTTTGTTTTTATTGGATATATGTTCCTATCTGAAAATGATGCATGTTCAAATAAATACCCTTTGCAAGAGCTATCAACAAAATTAAATTATCATCACTTTAACATTATTAGTCCAAACCTTTGAATGAAAACATTATTACTACTAAACAAATAATTAATATAATCCAAATATATTTAATGACAAGACAACTTAAGAGGGATCCAAAATTTCAACTATGTTGAAATTTTTAATTAAACATTTAGGCCCCTCTTGTCTACCATTTAGTGGTCCATTTTCAACTACTAAATCACTTTTAATTTGATTAGGATGTTTCTACTAATTATATATAATTCATAAATAGATATTATTATCTTTTTTGTTTTGTAATTGAAAAATAGTTATTGATGTGAAATTTAAACTCCATGATATTATAATGGAATTTCAATCGCTTTTATCGTATAATTTAAAATTTTATATTATACCAAAAAATGGTCATTGATTTTGTGTCTAAGAAAAAGTCATTTGCTATATACTAGAGAATGTAGGGTTTTTTTGACTTTTTTTTTGGAGGTTTATGTGAATTTTTATTTAATTTGCAGGCTGATAATTTGAGGCAACAAACAATACACCAATTGCATAGAATATTGACAATTAGACAATCAGCAAGGTGTTTCATGATGATTGGTGAATATTATGGTCGATTAAGAGCCTTAAGTTCCCTATGGGCATCACGTCCTAGAGAGTAAGCTCGATTAATTCAAATTCATATTTGAAAAATAAAATAAAATTAGAGAGTAAAATGATTTTTGCTAAATGCCGCTTCACTTTCAAGGTTTCCATTTAAGATTTTAATATTTAGTGTTTGATTTTGTTTTGAAGTTTGATTAATCGAGATTCGACTTAAAAAATGTTATTTTGGAGGGAAAGCATTTCGTATTATTTATCAAAAGTAACTTGACTCTTGAATTTTGAACTTAAGATCTTAAAATTTGATGTTTTGATTCCCCTTTGAGATCTGATTAATCAAAATTTATTTAGAGGAGCCCCACTTTAAAAATAGAGCATTTTCTATCAAAAATAGCTTGATTACTTAGGCTTCAATTCAAAATTTATAATTATTAAAGATGACAATATACTTAATTATTTACCATATTACCATAAGCTCCCTAACTAACATTAAATTGAGAAAAAATAAGTTAAAGCCTTTTAAAATATAATATCGCTTTCATTTCAAGTTATGTAATTCTATTTGACTGAAAATAAAAATTTAAAAATTTTATTTTTTACACTTTGCGATTGATCATAAATATATCATAATATTTATCTGGCTTATATAATGACTTTTAACCACTTATTTACCCTTTTTTTAGGACTATGATGGCAGATGACAACTCTTGTCAAACAACAAGTGAATTGCAAATGATACAAGCATCACAACACCATTTCTCAATGAGATGATCATTATTATATATATATCCATTCTTGATATATATACATATATATAAATTAATATTACTCTTATATTGTAAATGTATAAATCAATTTTATTGTGCACAACTACTTCAACAACTTCACATAATTGTAAATCAATATCTTCATGGGTATAAGTATCGAGTAACTTAAATTACATTGTATTTTTTTAACTTCATAATTTAAAAATAATAACATATTCAGTGTAAATCTCAAGTGGGGTTCGAGGTAAAGGAAGGTAAGATGTACGTCTAACCTATTTTTATTTGTGTGGTATAGAAAGACAATTTTTGATAGATTTCTAATTCAAAAGAGAGAAATTATTCGAAGCAGAGTTTCATGAAAAGAAAAAATGACAATAAGCTATATCAAAATACAAAGTAAAATATAGTAAAATACGTTAAAATCAAGAAACGATGTGATTAAAATTTAACGATCTAAATTTAGTCAAACTTTATAATTGGCTCCATCAATATTATAATATGAAAGAAAAATATCTTTCTTTTTCTTAGATTAAATAGAGAGATGTCCACATACACTTTTATTTAACATTTTTGTTTATGTATCATGTGTCTCTCTATCTAACATAAAAAAAATAAAGAACACGTTATATATAGTTCAACCACAAGAACTCTAGCTAGGAAATAAGTGAACCCTACAAACTCCCTACATAACAACAAACATAGAAACCCCACAAGACCAAAAATTCATGTACCGTCATGGATCGCAGTGCACTGGTGGGACTGTTTTACTCTTAATCAGAAGTTTCGCGTTCGAGCAATGGGTATGGAAAAAATCTTATTTGGATCGACATCCCAGAATAAGTCCTGAAGTGCGTGATTTGTATTTAATTGAAAATTCTTGACTCCGTCGTTGTCGGACAGTGAGTGCCAAAACGAAAAAACACTCGTGTTAAATAATTGAAAGTGTTATACGTGTATAACGATTCACCACTCATTGGTCAAAAAATGTCACCTATCATTTAAATTTATACAAGTTACAACATTTCTTATCTCCTTATAATTAAACAATATGCATGCACTTCCACAATGAAAGAAAACCAAGAAATTTCTCATAAAAAAGTTGAATATCAATATCAAGATTCTATCAAGAACTTTAAATCTTCGTCAATGGTGGATGATGGAGGAAAAATAGGCGATTTATTCGACTCCACGAAGAAAGAAAATCAACAAGTACTCTCTTGTGATGATGATACACAAGGTGAATATCAACATCAAGATTCTATCAAGAAGTTTAGATCTTTGTCAATGGTGGATGATGAAGATAAAAGAGTCAATTTATTCGTTGAATCGGAGAAATTAGGGTTATCGGGGCGTGAGAAGTTGAAGAGGCATTGGAGAGAAGTTGGAGGTAGGGTTTTTGTGCCAGATAGATGGGGACATGAGGGTTCTCTGAGAGAATGGATGGATTGTTCTTCTTTTGATAATATACTAGCTCCGAAGGGACTAAAATCAGCTCGTGAAGCCTTGATGTCTCAAGGAAAACGAGCACGTTCAGGTTCAACTTCAAGAATGCTCGAAATCAGAAGTAGTTAACCATAATCGGGAAGAAAAAAAGACGTCCCAAGAAAAATGAGCAAGTTCAAGTTCAAGTTCAAGTCCAACCTCGAGAATATTTGAAATGAGAAGTAGATACTCATGACAAAAAGAAAATGGTTTGATCATGAGGTGTAGGCTGAGAATATTGATGTTGAGTTAGTCAAAGTCATAAATTAGGAGATCTTAGATCTTAGTTTGAATTATTATTATTATTATTTTTGTTGGAGTCTATTGCTTAGATTTTTGAAGAATTTAGTAATCAATTTATTACTAAGCTTCTTAAATTATGTATTCTTTTAAATGATTACGTATTTTATCACTAATTAAGTATTTTTTTAACAATATATTGAGGAAGATATACATATATATTTTTTATATCAGACGTACTAAAATAGAGAGAGGCAGGTGATATGGGGAGGGAAGCAAACAAAATGGTCATGTATCCCATATACATTCAAATCACATCAGATACATAGGAGAGTTGCGAGTGAGATGGGAGGGCGACGAATGACATTTATCTATTATCCCAGATATATACTTGTGAATCCAATTGGATATAGTATATCCAGAACAAATTATACTCAATTTTGATGTCATGTGTCCTAAGATATTGTCTGTATCTGGTGTAATTCACATGCATATGAGATATCAGATACATAGGAGAGTGGCAAGCGAGATTTGTCTAAGATATAGTGTATCTAGAACAAATTACACCTAATTTTGTCTTCATGTACGTCGATACATGTAAGCGGACGTATCTAAATGCATCAAAATCTAATAAAATTTGTAATATGCAAACCAGAGTGTATCCAGTTAAGTGCAAGAGTGCATCAAAGAAATTTCAGTACAATTTTTTTTTGTAGGAGTAACTTTCCATCCAATACTAAGTATCCATTTTGGGACTTAATTAACTTAATTTATATCGAAAAGTTTTATACTGAAGGATAAATCGCTCTCTATCAAAAGCGACTTCATTCGCTATCTTTTTTATGATTTCAAGTTTACCATTGGAGAGATATAACTCCATCTTTTGGGAAAATATCTAACATTACTATAAAATGTCCATATACACATACTTTTTTGGAAAAAATATCTAACATTACTATAAGATGTCCATATACACATACTTTTTTTGTTTGTTTATAATCATGTGTCTCAATATATAACATACAAAAAGAACACACATCATATATACTTCTACCACACAAACTCTACTAACTTTACCTAACATATACTCCAAGAAAAAAATTGGAGAAAAATTAAGTAAGTGTCAAAAATTGAAAGTCTTAACGTGTATAACAATTCACCACCTATTGATCATATATATACAATTTGAGCCACCTTTATTATAAATTCATTCATTCAAGACTCTTAATCTTTACTAAACCATATTGTATACACAATGAAAGAAAATCAAAGACTTTCTCATAAACAAGTTGAATATCAATATCAAGATTCCATCAAGAACATTACATCTTTATCAATTGTGGATGATGAGGATAAAATAGACAGTTGTTTCGACTCCATGACGATGAAAGTAAATCAAGAACACTCTCATAAACAAGGTGAATGTCAACATCAAGATTCTATCAAGAACATTGAATCATTGTCTATGGTGGATGATGAAGATAAAACAGACAATTTTTTCATCGAATCGAAGAAATTAGGGAGTGAGAAATTGAAGAGGCATTGGAGAGAAGTTGAAGGTAAGGTTCTTGTACCAGATAGATGGGAACATGAGGGTTATTTGAGGGAATGGATGGATTATTCTTCTTTTGATAAAATATTAGCTCCAGAGGGACTAAAATCAGCTCGTGAAGCCTTGATGTCTCAAGGAAAACGAATGTGTTCAAGTTCAAGTTCAACATCAAGAATGTTCGAGGTCAGAAGTAGATAGTCGTGAGAGAAAAAGAGAACACGTCTTAAGGAAAACAAGTGTATTCAAATTCAGCTTCAACTTCAAGAATGCTTGAAATCTTGTAGCATGGGAATATTGATATTCATCAGTTAGTAAGATCATAAATTAAGCATATTTCAAGAATAAAATCCTTATCAAGGAGATTTTAGATCATTGTTTGAAATTTTCTTTTTTTTGGGGTGAAGTTAATTGTTATAGTTTTGGCAAATTTGAATCAATCATGCCTTATTTTGCAATAAACATAATGCATTAGAAGTTAGGTGGCAAGATATGTTTTTAAGATTTTATTATTTGATTGAAATTGTTTTAGGATCCGACTAATTCAAATTTATACTAAAAAATCTATTTTAGACCTTGTTCTGGAAATTCCAAATTCAAATAGCATTTGTAGTTACTTTGCTATTATAACAATACTACCAAAAATAAATTATAACCAAATAAAAACATACTCAATATAATCCCACACCTAGAGTTTGGAGAGGACAATGTATGAGCAAACCTTACCCCTACCTAGGGGTGGTTTCAAAAAAACCCTCGACTCAAGTAAAAACACTACAAAGCCATTCAAGAAATAAAACCAACGAGTGTGAAGAAGCCAACACAAAATGCTAAAGAATGCATGACAAAGCATACTTACAAAAGGAACGATCGTTACAACAAAATAATACCATAATCGAAGGGCAAGAAACATCATCTCAAAATTCGTATGTTCAAATACTTTCATATAAAATGCAACAATATGATTATTTTCCTGTCATCCCACAGTGTCAAACACAAGCCAATATGACAAAAATTTCAATTTGGTATCATATTTCATTCAATGAATTTCCTTCAAAACTACAGCAAAAATATAAAAGAAAGCCAGCAATGGCGATTAGCAAAACAATTATTGAAATATCGATAACAAGTACTTTGTCTCGTCTCAAATAAACTTCATTACTGAAAATTTATTCATCAACAGGCCGCTGTCCAAGAACTGAAATATCCTCGTAACGCTTCTGTAATAGAGTATAAAAGCTCCAAGTTAGAAATGAATGATACCAAAAGATTAGAATGAGTATGTTGCTCTGGCTCTTCAAAAATGTCAATGAGTGCATGTTGGATCCCCCAAAAGTAATGCATGTTTGAAGAAGCCAGTACGAGTGGCAACAATTTTGGACTCGGGTAACATAGGTTGCTACTGAAAATCAAACATGAACATGGAACCAGCAAGCTAGAGAATATAACAGTAAGATGTGTCAAGCATTTCTAAAAGCTAATCTATTCATATCAAATAAGCTGCCAAAGATAATTATGAACCTATTCATATCACATAAGAGAGCCTATTCAATGAAATGTCACCATCTTCAGGTAGGAAAAAATAAACAACGGATAGTTGAGGTGAGCCTTGATAAATGTTTGGTGATGGTTCATGTAGGAAATTCTCGCACCTCGTTGTTAATGTATTGAACTCGAAAAAAAATGATACTTTAGGTGTGCTTTTTTACCCTTCGCTCAAACTTATATTGATATTACCTAATATTAATAACCAAATGATGGATAAATGCAATCCTGAATTTAATATCAGTACTAATGTCCTAATCCAGGTAACCAAACAACCTCTCATTGTTCAATTTGGTTTACTGTTGTAAAGTTTTTTTCAGAACCAATGGTCGCTCTTTACTTTTCCAGAGACAAGGTTGATTCAGTATTTTGACATTTAGGTCATAGTTTTGTTCATCATTTCACTATATTAAGAGTTCTTTATGTAGAGACTTAATGAAGTTACTGACTGATTACACTGAAGCAAAAAAGAAATAGACATTCAATGACTTCACACGCAAAAGTTTTGCCTGCTTAGGAAAGATATCATGGCTTTCCTATTGTTTCCTACCGGTCTGCTTCTTGCTGATATACTTGTACATATCATTTATCATTTCAGCCACAATGTAACTCCAGAAGATTTCACACTACAGGGACATGTGTCAAGCCTTGATTTGAAAAAAGATGACTTTGACCAAGTCAAATATAATTAGGGGAACTTGGGTATGACTATAATTAGTATTAAGTAGATTAAAATTTCCAACTTTCTTAAAGAGAATCTATCAACAGTTCTAAATTTCCAATCTCAAATTTGAAATTTATCGCCTCCGTTCTTCCTCTTCTTCTTCTTTCTCTTGTTTATTCTTCCTTCTATTTTTCTCTTCTTCCTCCATCCCCCTTCCATTTTTTTCTTCTTTTTTCTCTTTTATCGTTACTTTTTCTCCTCATTCTATGAGTTATTTTTGCTTTGGTTGTGAAGATTTGAGGAGAAAATTTTACGAGGAAAAATTCAAGTTACAAAGGAGATTGTGCAGAAAATTCAACAAATTAAGAAATTGTTGCAACAACTATCTGTGAAATTTGCTGCAACAAGACAAACATTGAGTTGTTGCAACATTTAACACAATTGAGATGGTTGGTTTTATGGCAGAAAGTGTAGAATGTAAAGTGAGGCAGAGGAGGAAGAGGAAGCGGAGTAGGAGGAACCTAAAACACTGGAGCAGGGGTGCAAATTCCATCAGAGCCGACATTAGGTTCAACTCAGCACATCTGCCTAAACCTTGAAAAGCAAGGTTACACAGTACTTGCACCGCTAGCCGTACCAGATAGCAAGTACAAAATGGAAGAATGTATGTGCTTACAAGCTTGTCAGGACATCAGATTTATGCAAGAAATAGAAGCAAGCGGGAATATAGGGAAAAGAGAGACAAACAGAAAAATGGTAAAAAAGAAATCAGGTGGATGGGATTAGTATAGGCTGATAAATATAGATAACATAAAGGTGTAAGAAGAAAAAGCAAACAGGGAGGGGAAGGGAGAAGAAGAGAGGGAGAGGGAGGGGGAAAAAAAAGTAAAGACAAGAGGAAAAAATCAAAGGGCAAAATAAAAAATGTAACAGAATAACAGAAATGGTAAAGAATGTGGAGATGTTTAAGCAATTACAAGACAATAGAAAGGAGTAGCTGAATGCTAGAAGACAAGAACAGAAATAGAAGGTAGGAACAAGAGGGATTAGAACACTTGAGCCACCTTAATCACCTCAGAGGAAGTAAAAGAACCCAATTCAAATTGTGCAAATTTAGGTAACAGATACCTATGGTAGGACCATCTTCCACATTCAGCTCAAAAGGGAACTAGTTCATTTAAGGCACGTAGACAATACATCATTCAAACTTCAGACATAATCCCAACAGCAGTCTACAACACTACTCCACTAAAAGAACTTAATGTTGGTCCCTTGAAATTCTTATTCAATTTACAGAATCCATGATATTTGCAATTTCATCAAGACAGAGGTTTAAAATACCATCACCAAATACTAAGGCTATTGTTTCTAGAAAACCCCATTCATCATAACCACTGTCCTTCGTTCACAAACTCTAGCATGAAAAAGACGCATCAGAACAAGACTCTAAAAGCACATGTATTTCAAATAAACAGGAAAGATCATGTGAAGAAATGTCATTCCATAGACATATATGTAAGTTAGCAACCTTATAAGATGTCCCAACAGCAACCTAATTCAAACAGTTCTCGTAACTGAAAAACTGAACCATATAGGCTATGCAGAGCTAGGGCTGTAACGGGGCTCATCATAAGCCTCTTCACCAAAATAATTTCAATGAACTACAAAGGTCAAATTTCTTTTAATGTATACATATTTATATGTTGTATCTCCTTAGCTTCTCAGTGTGCTCATAAAAGGGGAATTTTTTGCACAATCAGGATAAAGGAATAATTTTTTCGAAAATTCAAACATACCCCAACATTGTTCTTCTCCCAGAGAGTTTTAACGCCATAATCCACTGCCTGCAACAACAACACAACGAAGCAAGAAAAACATCAAAATGGATCACACCCATCTGCTATATTGCTCCGAACTCTTCAAAAACGTCAACAGATGCATGTTGGATACCCAAAAAGCAGTATCTTTTTGAAGAATCCAACACGGATGCGATAACAAATTTTGAAAAGTCCGAGCAACATAACCCATCTTTTACAAATCAAATCCATTAAACTTAACCAATACATCTCCAGATCCAATCAAAATACACCCAAATCTCTACAAAATAATTTTTTGAAAAAAGACTGACCCGTTCGCCGAGCAAAGCGCCGGCGATGACAAAGGTAACATAGACAGGGGTACGGCGCATAACCAGCCTGTAAAATCCTTCAAGAACACCACCACCACTTCTTCTAGCAGCTGATTCCATTTTCTGAGCTTAAAATCCCTTCTGGGTTTCGCTTAGATTTGCTAATTTGTAGAGAAAACAGATGAATTTTGAGAAAATGCGATGATTTGTTTTGAGGTTTGAGCTTCTCTATATTGTTAACCTACCTCGACCCGGTTGGGTTTTTTTTGATGGGTTTATATTAGACCCGGTAGAAAAGTCCTCTCTTTCTCTTTTTTTTTTTTTTTTTGGAATAAATTTGAAAAATTATTATTGATAAATTTTACTAATTTTAATCTTTATGATATATGAAAAAATTATTATTGATATGTATGTAGAGGTGTAAGGTCATGTTGAAAATAAAGTAAAAATAGAAAAATAGTATCGAGTTTTAATATTATAATTGAAATAAGTAAAAAAATATAATAATATAGATAGAGGGAACTAGATGGAGGCTGAATATATATAAACATTTATATCATTTTAATGATGAGATTATGTCTATACATTTATAAATGATATCTCATTTTCGTTACTTTCGTCATCTGGATGTACGAGTTCTTGATTGACTAATACTTCATACATGCATCATAGTTAATCGCATAATCATTTTGCAAAACTTACATGTAAGTCTTAGTGATATGTTCTTGTCATATAAGATGTTGAATGTATGAGCCTCCACTTCATTTATATTCCGCTTTAAAATGATGTGCAATATAATCGTTAATTTTTTAATTCCCTTATATTAATTACCCAAAATACTTTTTAAGAAAAATTATCTTACATAATTTCTTTTGTTAATGCATCAACGGAATACATAGTTTAAATATATCTTTTGCATCCTGAATGATTCAACTTGGGAAAAACTTCTCTCAAGAGATTTCCTTCAATAAAGAGATAGAGTATCTAGCTAACATATCCGCTATTTTGTTCACAAATCTAGAAATATATATAGATTCTACATGATTGAAAGCTTCCAAATGTCTTCACACGACACTTCTATCTCCCATGAAGTCCCTGATCGTTTTTAAATCATATCATAAACATTTTTAGCATCTGATAAAATCTTCACAGTCTTCCACCCTTTAATGATAGCATATTCAAGAGTTTCCCTAACAACAATCGCTTCAGCAGTCATGACTTTCCCAACAAATTGGATTGGAGCTCCATGGGCATGAAGCAGGTTTCCAAGGCTATCCAAAGTCGCAATATCAATACTTGCCCTTCCATCCTCATTCTGCAATCCTGCATCTGTAAACAATAAAATGTCATCTTGTAAAGTTGTTGTTTAATCACACAATGATTTCTAGAGGAACAAGACGAAAGATTTTTTTTATCAGTAACTCTTTATGTTCGTCATACTCAAACATCAATCTCATATGGTCACTCTAAACTATTCAAAAATGATGTTCTCCTTCCCTTTTTTTTTCTTTTTTCTTTTGTTTTTGAGCTAATTTTAAACAAAGCAAACTATGTAACTACATATCCATTAAATAAACTATTCCAAATGAAAAATAGATAAACAAAATGGACATTCGTTTATTATTAGACTTTTAATTTGAGAGCATATTGTTTATCTAGCAAAATAGAAGGCACAACTTTGCTTTTAAAACTTTTTTGAAATTAATTATCATATGTATTATGTAAACATTTACTTCAACATATCACATATGCTTTTAATTTCAAACGAAGCTCCATCTTACATATTTTATCTATGTTGACACTTTCAAATTATTATAGAATACACATCTAAACAAAATGAAAAATAATAATAATCGAAATCACTTTTGAACTTTGCAAAATTATTCAAATTTGTCTTCCTTTGTTTTTTCCATTTTATTATAGAAGAAAACCACAATGATCATGGTCGATGAGTAAAAAAATATTAATCAATATGAGTTGTGATGGAATGATTGAAATCCCTTCAATTTTTTCTTGCATTGATTGTTGAAGTACTACGTTGGAATGAAAATATTTTTCTTTGTGTTAGAAAACCTGTCTCCAAATAGATAATAAAGTATATGAATATAAATTTAATCAAATTCAGAAACCAAATGAAAAAGGAGCAAAAAATGCCTTAACCACTCAAAACAAAAATGCAATTCTCATTAGCCATCCATTCAAAGACATATTTTTTTAATTATTTTTCGATTTTTGTATATAGTGGATACTTCTACAAATTTATGATAATGTGATAAGCATTTTTTAATTAAAAACTAAAGATATCGAGTTGAGGTTAGCGAATTGGACCCTTTACAATTGAAACTATGTTACCTCTAAAATGAAATTTTTGAACGTGAATATCAATTAATCAAATTCCAAATTAGATATCAAATCTATAACGAAATACAAAAAAAATAAAAATTATAAAAAATGAAAACACATAACGAATCGTCTTAAATTTAAGATAAGAGTCACTTAACACATTCAAATATAGCAAATTGTACAATAATACATTTTTGGGTTCATATTTAATCTTTTAACCAAAATTTGCTCATTATTTAAAATTTAGCCATCTCTTAGAAAAAGATCACCGTTCATTTCTCTTCTCATCTCCTCTTCGCGCTCATACATGCTTTCTATTCTTTTTCTTTCTCGCTCCTTAATATCCACATCAACGAAATTATTTTTCTTGCAATCAACCACTCTCAAATTATATAAGTTTCATCATCAACTTCTTTTAGGAATACAAGTTGAAGTTTAAAATAAACTATCTAAATTTAAGATAATTTTATAAACAAATACATTATTCTAGTCATTCTAATTTAAGAAATACATTAAATTAGTCTCCACAAACATTGCATCTATTTTTTTTCTCAAAAATTATCTGGATTTAAAATCACAAAAATTGAACTTTCTGAATACACGCCTAAATTTGAATTACGTAATTCCAACTTTAAAACACCATATCTACAAAGTTTAAACACAATTTTGGGTGGTTAACATATGCAAATTATGACAAAAACTTAAATTACATTTTCTAAAAGTGGCTATTTGATGCAATTTGCTTAGAATTCAAATACTTCAAAGGCCCAATATATACATTGTAGCCCTATTTGTATATAAAGTCATATATCACTATACTGAGCCACCCTTCGTCTCTCTTACGGCGCTCACAAACCCTAATTAGGGTTTCCTCATACAGGTACTTTTTCTTCTTCTTATCAGGGACTCCATTTCTAGGTCTCGATCGAGAGATTAACGGTGCGAGTTTTTTTTTTTTGAAAATTTTGGTAATTTTTAGCCGGAATGCTGATTTTTTTTTTATGTTGTTTGATTGACAGAATTGAAGTTTTGAAGGAGAAAGGAGAAGTATTTGAGCCATGAGGTATGTGGAAAGCTTTAATTTTTATTTTTTTTATCTACATGTTCAATTTTTTTCTTTATTTTTGATTTGTTTATCTGTTAAAATGTGGATGTTTTCTGTATTGTGTGCTTTGCTAGGATGATAAGCTAATTTGTATGAATGTTTGACGTTAATTTGATCACTTTGTTGAGTTTTTGTGTGATTTGTTTGTTTTTGTACCCTGTGTATATGGGAAGTTGAAAAAAAATAATGCTAGTGTCAACCACAACCATGTGCAGTGTAATCCACAGGTGAAGTCTGGAGAATGTAAAGTTTGTACATGCCTTAGCCTTGTGGTTGTGTGATAGAGAGGCTGTTTCCTATAGAGTCTTTGCTTATGGCTCAAACAGAAGAAAAAGTAATGGATTTTTTTCTTCTTAGGAGTAGTACTATCCTGAGGAATTGTCCTTTTAATGTGAAAAGTGAGAGCAACTGATTTTGAGGTTGCTTAGGAATTTGTTAACTCAAAAGAGTTTTTTTTATTGAAATGGCAAGTAAAACACTTTTTTGTGTGTCAACAATAACCATACCTAGTGTAAACCACAGTTGGGGTCTAGAGAACATAAGAGTTTACACTGACGTTGCCCCAACCTTTTGTCATATATCCTCTACTTATAGGTCAAGTAGAAGAAAAATTGATGGGTCTCTTTCTTTCGCTGCTTCTAGTATGTAAATATGTTGGCCTCTTAATATGTTGTAGTTAAGAACATTAGCTTTACTGTTTATTGTATGTCTTGTTGAATATTTGCATAAAATGATTTAATTTTAACTTTTCTACAGTAAGCTTCAGAGCGAGGCCCTTAGAGAAGCCATCTCTGTAATTAAGAATGATTCGGCTGAGAAAAAGAGGAAGTTCTCTGAGACTATTGAGCTCCAGATTGGGCTTAAGAACTATGATCCCCAAAAGGACAAACGTTTCAGTGGATCTGTGAGGTTGCCTCACATTCCACGTCCTAAGATGAAGATTTGCATGCTTGGAGATGCTCAGCACGTGGGGGAGGTAATTATTCTTCCATGCTCATTAAGGTCACTAGCTCTATGGGATTTTCTTTTGTTTAACCACATACAGTGTTTGGGAGGTGCATATGCAACTGCTTAGTGGATTTTCGTTGTCGCCCTCAGATATTGTTGTTTTAGTATATACTAGATTAGGTCTTTTACTCTTCTAACTAATAGAAGATGTATTTTTTAGTCGGTGGTTATCTAACATCACTCGTTTAATTGATAGAAAACTGATTTTTATTTTAATAATTCTTTTACTTATATGATGAAACTGTGAGAGAAGGAATTGATAATAGTCAATTGAATCTTCATGCACCACTGAATACGTGTTGTAATTACGATGGGCAGAATGATGTTGTCATCAATTCTGACTGTCTAACAGATAGGAGTAGTTGATAGAGTGGAGTCACAGTCAAAGTATGATTTTAATGGGCTCGGACTTGCGAAATTTTGTTAGCTTGTCTGTCAACTGTGGGTTCGATATTTTCGTGACAGCCAATAACGTGTTAACTTGGCTTAAAAGTTACTGTTAGGTGAATCTATGGTGTTCTAGGGGTAATAATCAGAACTTGGCACTTGCATTTGCAGGCAGAGAAGATCGGTTTGGAGTACATGGATGTCGAGAGCCTCAAGAAGCTTAATAAGAACAAGAAGTTAGTTAAGAAGCTTGCAAAGAAATACCATGCTTTCTTGGCTTCAGAATCCGTCATCAAGCAGATTCCTCGTCTCTTGGGTCCTGGTCTGAACAAGGCAGGCAAGTTTTATAGATTGTTTTGGTATTCTGTACAGACTTGTAATATAGTTCTCTGAAATTGTGTTCTTGCTTGAATT